GCCCAAATTTAAGAAGCAAATATTTTCATATACTACACTCCGATGCATGATACTTCGACTATAATAATTTATTATACCATATTGAATTAATATTATACATAAAATCCTAAATTGGAGTTGTCAAACAAAATCCAGGATTCTTTAAACATATTTTTAATTGTGACAAAGGGCACCGATACTGTAACAGTGACTTTACAGTCATATGTTATAAAATTGTAATATTTGATTTAACCGTATTCATTGATCAAGTCGTTGTTGCTGATAACCATGGTTGGTCCGAACCGATTTAAGACCTCGGATAATATAATAAAATAAGAAGCTTACAATAAAAAGAAATTATTAAAAGTTATGGCTTTTTGTTTTTGTTTTTGTTTTATTTTTTTTAAATGTGTTGTTATAAATTTATCTTTAGATGGTTTTTGTAATGGTACTAGTTGTTCGTTTTTTTTTTCACTATTAGATAAATGTTTTGTAGACAACATATTATTATTTTAAGCTTATAAAACAATAAGAAAAAAGTTAGTAAAGGGAACACCTAGTTATGAACTTTTGATATTGAATCTTTTAAAAAGGATAACAATTTTTTAATCGTTTTCTAGAATCTAGTAACTAGAATGTGAAAACTTTTGATATTGACGTTTCAAATTATCAACAAATATATAAGAAAAAGCACATAAATTAAGTTTTTATCATAAAACTAAATGAAAGAAATGAAGAACAATAATGAAACCTTGCAATATATAAGAATCATAAATTAGAAATCAGATTGGTGAGGTAACTTGAAGTTTGATTAACATGAATACAAGATTGATTTTTGAATGATGCGTGAAATCAAATTATCATAATTGATATATTAAGGAATACCGAAATAAAAAACTAGCAAACAAAATTGGAATCGAAAACCAAAACGTCATGTGAACAAACTTTTTTTTGTTACCGTTGAAAAAATCGTAATTGATTCAAAGAGTCCTTCAATTTATAGTTGTGAGATGTCCAATGCTATGATTATTCTAAAGAATTTCATTTTCCTTATTAGTATCATGTGCTGATTTTGTTTTGGTTCCATTTTCTTTGGTTTTTTCCGCTTGATGTATGATGTTTTTTTTTCTTAATTAGTAATGTAAAAATTGACGAGGCTCAATAAATTAGTAAACATTGGATGATAATTAATAACGGTGGGGAATTAGTTGTACCAGATTCAAGACATCTTTAATCACTCATTATTTTACAAAGCATATATTAAAATTAAAAACTATCTATTAAAATATGCATATATATATATATATATATATATATATATATATATATATATATATATATATATATATATATATATATATATATATATATATATATATATATATATATATATTTTCAATCCTAAATTTCTTGCGCGTGGTATGCTAAGCATTAATGGTAAAAGATTGTGATGTTTCATCATAGAGATAGAGAGAAACATGGTTAGTCCATTGATTTATTTGAAAAGTAGAAATAAACGTTGATAAAAAAAACATTAATAAATTGATAATTGTTTTAAATTAACTGAAACAAAAATTTTCAGTGATCGGTAACTGTAATATTTCGTTTAGAGGTGTTTTGTAGTTTCAATCATTAAGTTTTGGTTAGTTAGGGATTATGTTTCTGTTATACTTTGTTGTTGGCTTTAATTAAAAGTTTTCTATAATTAATTATATTTCCAAGTCTAAGATATATATTACTATCAAATTGTTAACTATAAGTTGTTATGATTAAAACAATAGACTTCTTTATTTGTCTAAAACTAAAATACAAGTTGTGGTTCATCGGATCTATAATTAAGTTATAAACTTATAAAATGATTATTTGAAAGTTTATATTAATCAATATTTTATGAATATCTATAATTCTTAGGTATAATCAACCATGGATCCCGTCGATATTATAGAATTCTTATTCTTATTATGTAAAAGTATTATATAGTATTAGATTAGATTTGAAACGTCGTATTAGTAAATTAAATACATGAAATCATCATATTTCGTTGGAATATATAATCATATTGCAACAATCGTGACAACCCTTTATATAACACCTTGCACAAATTCATAACATCTACATCGATTTGAAGTACATTTCAAAATGGCACACACAATTCTCTCTTTGCTAACTCTCTTTCTTGCCATATTCAGTTTAAACCCCACAGTCGAGTGCCATTCTCGAGCTAGGGCATATATCGAGCAACAATGTCGTTCTACCTTGTACACTGAACTATGCGTCCGAACCCTTCTACCCTTTGCTAGCAAAACAAATGCACCTCCACCCGAACAACTAGCCAGGATTTCTTTAACCACATGCCTAGTCAAAGCTCGGATCACAAAGGCCTACGTGAACATGGTAGCAAAAGAGTATTTCAACAAAACGAAGAATGCTAGATACCATGAAGCAGTGACAGATTGCTTACATCAGATCAATGATGGTGTGAATCAGATTACACAATCGGTTAAAGAGCAACAAAGAATGGTGCATGATGGGGAGAAGAATTTTTCATGGCATGAAAGTAACGTGCAATCATGGGTTAGCACTGCGTTGACGGATGTGACAGCATGTCTTGATCGGATATCAGATAAAGCCATTGGAGGTAAGGAAAAGGGGATGATCAAAGCGAGAGTGTTGAATGTTAAGCATCTTGCTAGCAATGCTCTTGCGTTGTTTAATAAGTTTACAACACGACACCGTGGATCTCGTGTGATCAAGACTCCTTAGTTAAGATCTATATATACGTTAATTTAAAAGCCTTTTTTTATGTTATGATGAATAATAGTTGTCTCCTTTTGTTGTATTTTTCTTGTTGACATGGCTACATGTTTTTTGATGATCGATCGAGTTAATATCATTAAAGTGAATATGAATTTTGAATTTCAGATCTGAACTTTACGACCCACGAGTTTTGTAGAATATTCAAGCCCCCGAGTAACTGAGATTCAGGACCATGTATACCGAAACCATGCTCAATCTGAAATTAAATACATGAAAGTCAACTCCCTGGACTTTCGATCGTGTGTGTACTTTCTAGAGTATTTTTATCTGGTGACATATTTTGAAAGTATAGACACTCTATTTCAAATTATAGGGGGTAAAATAGACATGTCAAATGGGTTATCAAGTCAACCTGTCTAATACTATATAATGAGTTACAATGCGTTATAACTTGTAATATTATTAAACAACAATATGTTAATTACAAGAAACTCTTACGTTAAATTTTCCTTTCAATAAACCGTAGCTCTAGGGTTACAATTTGATTTGGCATTTTTAGTAGGTAGAGTGTGTTCTGATACTCAATCTGTATTGATGGAAATATATAGGAGTACAAGATACAAAGAGGTGTAACCTAACATGCCATGTGTCGAGATTGGCATTTTTATCAGGATATGAATGACAAATATATCTTGAAACAATGATGTAGGTAGGCAAGCAGTGAAGATATTAACATCCTAATTAAGAAGTAATTAAGAATAATGACATGACGAAAATGAAAGTCGCTAGAAAAATATATCTCGAATATTGTTAATGTCAATCTAGATATATATGCTTAGTGCAGTAATATGGATGGCTTCGATATATGTCTAAAACAATAATATATATTTCTTTTGTATTTTAATTTAAATAGTATGATCCAAATTTGATTATCTTAAAAATTAGGATTGGTGGGCAATATAGACGAAAAATGAGTAGAAATGTATATCATTATATAAAAATTTGATTAAGAAGGTTATCACTTTATAAAGTTTTGTTTTGGTTATATATCTAGCATAAACTTAAAAACGTGTTAAAAGTTATTTTCTAATCAAAATATTATTTAACAATTCATCTATATATTAAGGTGATACGTTATATAATTTTTAATTTTAATATGTTTTTTTTTATTAAATTTCACTTTACATTTAAAAAAAAAAGCCCCTCTACCTATGGATGCAAGGATAGCAAAATCAAAATGATGCATTAGTTGAGTGGTGAACACCATGTATTGCAACCTAAATGTCCAAGTTTCAAGTTCATCTGCAAAAGCTTTCTTTGCAATTTTATTAATTAAGGTGATAACCAAAATAACTACTTAAGTAACAATGTAAGGATAACAAAACCAGTTAAATGGATTAATACCATGTAAAACAACCTAAACGTACGTCCAATCATATGATCATTACACAAATGAAATAGCATTAATGTAGGTGTGCTAGCTCCATATACACGTAATATATGCAAAAATATCAAGCCTTTATATATGTTTTCTATTATTACCTATAACACATGTTCAATTATTGATTTCTTTCAAGATATAACGTATGCTTTCTTTCAAACTCGCTTTCCTTTCCTCCTTACAGTTCCACAGCTCTTGCACATGATCCTTTCCACTTATGTCATACTCATTCACTGCTTTCACAGCAGCAAGATATTGTTCCTCACTACACTTGGCCTTCAAACTAACCATCTTCTCATCTTTTTCATCAATAATCTCCTATTAAAATTCATTATTAAATAATGGTCGAATAGTTGGATTAATAAATTTTATATATACCTTCTTATCCATTCCAACTTTGAAGGGATGGCAGTTTTGATCATTAAGATAACTGCATACCAACTTGAAGTTGGTTGT